AGAGAAGAGGGCCAAGGACACCCCCCCTGTGGGACATCAACGTAACTGGCTGCGCGGAAGATTTTGCACTTGCAAAGTTGTACTTGCATCACACTGAGTGTCCGTGGTTCAATACCCTGCCGGGTAGACACATTGGACATGTTTCCTACTCCTGCTATCCCTGTTTATCTAGCAGTAAGTAGGTACTTGGGTGTTAGTGGTCTGGTGTGGGTGGCATCCTGGAGGACAAAATCGAAGGATCACAGTGGAAATAAGACAGAAAGTCCTCGATAATATACTAACTTTCTTGGATTATCCTGGGTGGCTAACCTTCCCCCTGGTTAAAAATCTGAACAAATCTTATCTTTTACTTCCAATCTTACATGATTAACTAGGGGTAACACTTCCTAAATAGCACTTCCTGCCTGGTCATCTTGAAACAGGTTCGATACGGTGTAGGTTGTCAGTGGCCCTTGAAACCCCAACAATAAAAGAAGTAGATGAGTGTTTCCTCTGCGGAGTTTGTGGTCCTGATGAACCCAACAAACAAACAAATAACTCGGCGTAGTTTTGCAGTATTTTAGTTTAAATTTGCTGTCTAATGTTGATGCAACTGCTGTATATATCATTGTTACTGGCTACCACAAAGATAATTACTATATTTAGAAACGTAATTTATTTTAAAGTTTGTTAAAGATTGTTGTTACTTCATTATCCTTACGTTGGTGAAGGGCTCTTGATCTAGGGAATTGGATCTGTGCTCGTTCCCTGAATTGAGCCTGAATGCCTTCTCCCCCTCCCACAGGCGCTGTATAATCCTACTGGTTTAGCGTTCCCCCTTGATTATAATAATAATAATAATTAGCGTTCCCCATGTTTATAATATTTCTATATTAATGCAGTACAGCAGTATGTTAGAACAATCTTTTGGATAATTGGTAATAGTTAGCAACATGTTCTTGGTGGAATTCATTATTTTATTTACAGTAGTGTTCTGCCTCTTATTTTATATCTCTCTAACCCCCCTCCAGGTACTTTCTTAACTAGCAAAAATAGCTAGGTATTTGTATTGTGTATTTATTTTAATTATGCATTATTATGATGGCTCCTGAATATAATACCTTTCCAGATTCCATCACTTCTTAATTGATACCAAAAAAAAAAAAAATAACCATGCTAGATCTGCTGTGACACTTCCCTGGCCCTCTTTTTTTTTTTTTTTTTACCTGATTCCCCTCCATCATCACCTTACTTCCTCTGTCATCTCTTTCACCTTGGCTATGTAGTACTCATTGACTTTTATGACTCTCTGATCGTGGTTTTATCCCCACCCGTAGTATGGTTTGTTTACAATCGTGTCATTATGATTTTGTGACTCATTAACTTTTAATGGTTTAGAGCTTTCTGTAAATATAATACTGTAATTCACAATTATTTTATTGAATCTCAACTTGTTTTTCTTATTATTATCTTGTTTTCATGTTTGATAAATGGTATATACTTAAATTCAGAATGGTGTGGATTTATGAAAATAATTTGTGTTGCTGTAAGGTTAATAATTAGATATTACAAGGACCTCAGTGGACATGAGTCACTGACTTTTTGAGTTATTCTGCGTAATTGACACATGTTACTGTGTAAGACAATTGTAATTATCTAAAATTGTGTAACTGCACTTCAATAAACTTATATACATGCTAATAAAATACTTTTAAAAGGGTTATTTTTGTGTCTCCCAACCAAGCTGAAATAAAAACACTGCACATAACCTTGATACAGTACAGCATACACACACTACTGCATATTTGATGTGTTTAAACAAGGTCTCTTTCTGTTATATTCTCAGGATAATAGTGTTTGTTCTGAGGACTGTACTACGATACAGTAATATTAAATTCTGCATTCTTTCAGACATTGCCACCATCACTGCAGAAATGTTGAATTTCATTGCTCAGCAGGCATGGAAGTGCTCTGTGGTGAGTCTCTGATCTTGCCCTTTAATGTTGAACTATTATTTGTGTGAGTATCGTTAAGAGATGTAAGTTAGTTCCCTTTTCGTAGCAGTTTTATCTGTAAATATTGTTCAGGTAGTCATCTTGCAATGTTGATTATTCCAGTACTGTATTTATTGGTATAATTAAAGTCACTAATTATCAAGCTTAGTGAAAAAAACAGCAAAGTTTTTAAATTTTCAAGTTGAAATAGAATATTATTTGAACTTATTGAACGGCAAGGCGGTGTTATTTACTTATACATGTAGAAAGTATTGGCAACTGTCCTAGTAATCCCCTCAAGGAAGGTTCCTTGATGTTGGTGAGGGGCTCTTGATTTAGGGAATTGGATCTGTGCTCCAGTTCCCCGAATTAAGCCTGAATGCCTTCCATATCCCCCCCCCAGGCGCTGTATAATCCTCCGGGTTTAGCGCTTCCCCTTGATTATAATAATAATAATGTCCTAGTAATAATCACTGAACAAGTGATAACTCTATTAGAAGGTAAATGGCACATACAAATTGTGGACAACAAGGATTTTACAATATATGTATATAATGTACAGAATATACTATTTTGTACATGTACAATACTAATTTTGAATTCCATGCTGCTGCAGTCACAAACTTCAGACCAATACAAAAATTTTACTAAATGCAAATTAGTTATAATCAGTCTTAAAAATCATCAAAATATTATAAAATAAATTATAATTGGTTCTCTTGACTGAAAAAATTACACTGTATGACTGTTACAAGCTCAGCATTTTTTTTTATATAACATTATAATAATAATTTGACATAACAAAAGGACATCAACGGCTAAATCTTAAAGCAATAATGTCAAGTACAGTAACCCTGATTGAACAGACCTCCAGTTAACTGAGTTCAGAAATATGGGACAAAATTCACTAGGTCAGTTGATCTGGAGACTGTGGACCTTGCCCATTGGTTCTGAATCAACTGCCATGATTGCAGCAAAATAATCTCACCTCTATCTATCACAGGTGCCATTACCAGATAACCTGCTTTTCCCAGATTACTTCCTTAAATTGAGGGTTTACTGTAAAGATGGTGCACAAAGAAGGATATCATTGTAATTGTGAATTAAATTTCATCAGGTGCGCTCTTCACTGGTTTTGAGGCTCATGAGCACCAGTAGAAAAATTTTGGTTGAAGATCAACAAATGAAGTCTACACAAAGAGAGAAGTTAACCTTACATTACCTTAGGTCTTGGAACTCAGTCATTAATTATCATTATAGTAAGTGGTACTGTATTTTGTTTTGCTCTTTAGTTGTTTAATTGACAGGCAATACGGAAGGGAGAAGGTGAAAACATGAAAGCAGTATTAAGAGACAGAGCAAGTTGATGTAGGAAATGTTAGGGTCTGGTGAGGACAACAATCAAAATAGAGGCAGAATGACAAGTAAACAAAAGTTCTTTTGTTGCAAGTCACTATAGTTACATGAACCATGGTAGAGTCAGTGATGCTCAGATGCAGTGGATACCTTTATTATTGACATTTTGCCCATGCAGAGGCCTTATCATATTTTATGAAAAGCCTCTGTGTTGGAGCAGAAACTTGTCATTGATTATAAGGTATCCAATGCATCTAAGTGTCATTTACTACACCTTCTTGGTATTTACAACCATTTCAGTTCCTACACCAGTTTTAGGGACTCTTCGTTAAGAAAAATCGTCAAACAATGCATTATATGGCAGCTTATTCAATTTATTTTTCTTAATACATGACTTAATTATATATAAAAAAAATAGTTTACATTTGTGTAATATGATTGAAGGGAGACAACATAGCCTTCCCAGGAGTGCTGCTCCTACTCAAAACAGATGTGAGATGGAATAGAACACTTGCTACAAGGTATAGAAGCAAGCTGAAAGAGACAGGGGGATAGATGTTTTGAATAGCATTTACAAGAAAGGAATGTTTTGCATATTTCTAGAAGCTTCATTACGGATTGTGTGCTGGAATAATTTTTCACTCTACGATGTGAGAGCAAATAGAAGAATTGATGGAGTATAAGTTACTAGTAAAGCCAATGTTGTAACTTGCCACAATACAGTGAGACTGTTGTATTTTTTCTTTAATTACTGTACTTTCTGAACTGTAACCACATGTGTTTCATAAGGAATTAAAACTACTTACCTCTTCCTTGGTTCAGACTCGATTCCCCTTCATTTCCCAGGTAGTGTATGACTTCTAAGGGTTTTTCACTTCCCAGTGATTGTTATAAAAAATTTTAACCTCTGGGTGTTGTAAAGTACTCCAATACTTTTCAGTACTAATACAGGTTTTTTTCATAATTTTTCAGAGGACATGATTAGTCACAGCGAAGTGCACACTTTTATACGAGACTTCCCCAAAATTAAGACTGTCCTTAAGACTGAACTTGATAAAACATTAACTGTTCTCAAGGTAAATACTTATATTTTTCTTATATTTTGTTTCTTGGTAGTTATTCAAGCTAGTGATGAAGACAAAATTTGTGAATTAGTTAGGGTAGTGTAGGTATTCCACACAGTTTTTTTTGTATTAGAGTTTAGCACACATCCAGAAAATGAATCCGATTAAACTTATGATCTGTATTTGTTGAATTTTGTTTAACTCATGTTAAGCGGTAAACCCATGTGGGCCATTCAGTGCAAGATGTGGTGCAGGTTTGATCCTCCATCTTCTGAGCACCAGACAGATGCCCTTCCTATTGGTACTTGCCTAGATCCTACATTTTCTTGTGATCTGTAGAGTACCTAATGTTATAGAAAGTTTTAGGTACATGCAAAAATATCAGCCAGTTGTGACATGTAATGCACTGGTTTTCTGAGATTTATGGGAGTTTTAAGATTGAAGTGGGTATTATCAAAAATTATCAGTGTAGTAGGCATGATTGAGTTTGCAGTCATTTACTGTAGCTCATGTATGTACTTGTATGTGTTGTTCATATTTCTTCCGAGTTAAATCCCATTTAATTTCAAAGCTACCACTAAAATAATTTGTCTTTGGAATTTTTAAAAATCTTGAAAACTCAAGGAATTATACAAGGAGGATTGATCAAATAATAAGGATCTATTAAGATTAATCTATGATAAGAGCTTGAAAGAACACAGGACTTTTTGGGAAACTTGGGAACAAACTTTCCTCTAGTTATATTTTATTTTATGAAAATTTTATCAAGACATTAACAAAAGTTTCAAATACATCTTCTTGTATTTGAAACTTTTGTTAATGTCTTGGGTTGGAAGGGTTGAAACTATATATGGCTGCTCGTAGCCACATACATAGTTGCAGTCCTTCCATTGCACCAGGGTTACTGACAAAAACCACCCTAAAGCAAAGTACAGCAATATATATTATACAGTAATGGCAATTTCTTTAATGTAATTGCCATAAAATCTTCTATAGTTGGAAAGCATTACAAGTATTGTACAATAGGTGGTTGTAACTATTAATGCTTTATGAACAGCACAGTTAAGTTCCTTTTAATGAATATAAACTGAAAGTTGCTCTGGTGCATCTGCAGAGTGAAGGCTACAGCTGGGATGAAATTCAAGAGTACAAGGAGATTCTTCTGCTAAATTCTAAAGACTTGAGAGATCGACTTGGAGTTTTGCATGACTTTTTAATACAGACGCCTACACTCCATCAAGTAGTTTAGTGAGTACTGTACTGCCATTCCCATTAGTAATATTCTCACTGAGTTTTTCACCTGCTTTTTAGATGTACTGCACAGATGTTTTCACCTAAGTATGAAAGGTAGGTTCTTACGAATATATTTATAGTTCTTTATTTAAATAAACATAGATGATTCCATTTATATAACTATCTACCTTTATGCCTTAAAGCCATGCACACTCACTGTTGCAAATTTATGTACAGTAACACATTATTTTTGGGATTTGATGAGCTGTTGGAGTGAGAGTAATTAAACATTTATAAAGGAACTCAGGGAAAAGATGTTAGCCAGGCTTGAATTCTTGAATTGTTTGAAATTATCATACAGAATATGATTCAGTATTGCAGAAAGAAAAAATATTCTAACTTCAACAGCTCTTGTATGTAGTACAGGAGGGCCCCCACATTCAACATCTTCTTTTCAGTGTTCCATACTTTTGTTGGTTTTTAATCAAGCCATTATTCATTATGTTTGATGCTTTTTCCACTTTTGCGCCTTTTTCACACATTTTGCTTAAGGGAAGGACGACTGGCACCACATTTTAGGTAAATATTGTATGTACTATGTATTTATTTTTCTTTTGTAACTGTTTTTTATGCCTAGCTGTATTTAGCACTTAATATATGATAGTGTAAACATGTAATCAGGCATTTGATGCATTCGATATTGAAAAACATGCTCTTTTCCACCCACCGTCGATTTTTGCTTATTGCTGGAACTGGGAACACACTACATTGGTACCCTGAGTTTCATACACCTCCCAACTCGAACATCTATGCAAGTGTATTATTGTAAGTGCTTTTGTAAATGTATTTTTGAGGGTCTGAAAGGGACTAATCTAATTTACATCATTCCTTATGGAACAAATTTGTTCGGTTAATGACACTTGAACAGCCTTCTGGAATGAATTATGGCCGAAACTCAGGGTACCACTGTACAGTGGACCCTCGCCTAACGCTATTACTCCGTTCCTGAGAGCTCAACGTTAGGCGAAATTATCGTTAGGCGAAATTATCGTTAGGCGAATTAATTTTCCCCATAAGAAATAATGGAAATCAAATTAATCCGTTCCTGACACCCCAAAGTATGAACAAAAAAAAATTTTTACCACATGAAATATTAATTTTAATACACACAAACTGAAGAAGACATGCACAGTTACATGACACTTACCTTTATTGAAGATCTAGTGATGATTGATGGGATGGGAGGAGGGGAGACTGTGGATGGTGTTAATGTTTAGAAGGGGAATCTCCTTCCATTGGGACTTGAGGTGGCAAGTCCTTTCCCGGGGTTACTTCCCTTCTTCTTTTAATGCCACTAGGACCAGCTTGAGAGTCACTGGACCTCTGTCGCATAACACATCTGTCCATAGAGGCCTGTACCTCCCGTTCCTTTATGACATTCCTAAAGTGTTTCACAACATTGTCAGTGTACAGGTTGCCAACACGGCTTGCAATAGCTGTGTGAGGGTGATTTTCATCAAAAAAGGTTTGCACTTTAAGCCACGTTGCACACATTTCCTTAATCTTTGAAGTAGGCAACTTCCTCAATTTCTCTATTCCCTCCTCCGAAGCAGTTTCCTTAGGTGTGGCCTCTTGCTGTTGAAGATGATCTAGCAGCTCATCAGTGGCTAGTTCTTCATTGTCCTCCTCCACCAACCTTCCATATTCTCCCCACTAACCTCCAACCCCAAGGACTTCCCCAATGCCACAATGGATTCCTCAACTGGCCAGTTTCTTCCAAGCAGAGTTCAAGGTCCTCTTAGTCACTTCCTCCCAAGCCTTACCTATAATGTTTACACAATTGAGGATGCTAATGTGATCTCTCCAAAACTCTCTTAGAGTCAATTGAGTTTCTGAGGTCACTACAAAGCACCTTTCAAACATAGCTTTTGTGTACAGTTTCTTGAAGTTGGAAATGACCTGCTGGTCCATGGGCTGCAGGAGAGGAGTGGTATTAGGAGGCAAAAACTTGACCTTAATGAAGCCTATTTCCGCAGAAAGTCGCTCTGCCATGTCTGAAGGATGACCAGGAGCATTGTCTAATACCAGGAGGCACTTAAGGTATAATTTCTTTTCAATTAGGTAATTTTTCACAGTGGGGGCAAATGCATGGTGTAACCAGTCATAGAAAAAGTCCCTAGTGACCCATGCCTTACTGTTTGCCCTCCACAGCACACACAAATTAGCCTTGAGGACATTGTTTTTCCTAAACACTCTGGGAGTTTCAGAGTGATACACCAATAAAGGCTTCACTTTGCAATCACCACTAGTAAAAAAAAAAAACACTAGCATTGGCATACATCAACAGAGTAAGCTGTCTTTCATAGGCTTAGTCCTGGAGTGCCTTTTCCTCCTGAGTAATGTAGGTCCTGCTTGGCTTTTCTTCCAACACAGGCCTGTTTCGTCACAATTAAACACTTGTTCAGGTTTCAGTCCTTCACTGTCTATGTACTCCTTGAATTCCTGCACAAATTTTTCAGCCGCTTTGTGGTCCAAACTGGCAGCCTCACCATGCCTTATCACACTATGTATGCCCACTACGATTCTTAAATCTCTCAAACCAACCTTTGCTGGCCTTAAATTCACTCACATCATCACTAGTTGCAGGCATTTTTCTAATTAAAATCGTCATGCAACTTCCTAGCCTTTTCACATATGATCGCTTGAGAGATGCTATCTCCTGCTATCTGTTTTTCGTTTATCCACACCAATAACAGTCTCTCAACATCTTCTATCACTTGCGATCTCTGTTTCAAAAACAAGTTGCACTTTTGGCAAGAACATCTTCCTTGATTGCCGTTTTTTGGCCACAATAGTAGCGATGGTTGATTGGGGTTTTGTGTACAACCTGGCCATGTCGGAGACACACACTCTGCTTTCATACTTAGCAATGATCTCTTTCTTCATATCCATAGTAATTCTCACTCTTTTTGCTGTAGGGTTTGGCACTAGAAGCTTTCATGAGGCCCATGGTGACTTATTTTGAGGTGGCAATCACTAAAAAGGCTGTGATGAATGAAATGTTCCGATTGTATGCTTGGAAGCGACCGCGGTGGTGGCTTGTAAACACTGGCACCACGGAACAAGTGAGGCGGCTCAGGCCGCACGTGGACGCGTTTCGTATGAATCGCGTTGAGCGAGTTTTTTAGCAAAATTTTTGCGTTTAAAATGTATCGTTAGGCGGATTTAAAGTTATGCGATGAGTTCTAGGAAGGGGGCCATGATTTGGTAATTACTAAATTTTTGGATATCCTTTTTG